GAGAGAGAGAGAGAGAGAGAGAGAGAGAGAGAGAGAGAGAGAGTCAGTAATTGACAGAAGGGGTTGGTGAAAAATACGTTAGTGATTGATGCATCCCCAAAATAACGGCTTTTTAGTTATGGAAAGAAATACAGTAAACACAAAGAGGGTAAAGAAATAGACCCTGCCAGTAATACGCTCCAACCAGCCAAACTCAAAGGGAAAGATTTCGAAATTAAAGTTCACTAGACCTTTACGTGGTTCGTTCCTCCGTCTCAATTTTTTTAAATGTAGTTATCTTTATGCCCCTGTGGACACATTTTAGATCATTTAGGAGGCGGGTTTGCGACCCTGCTTGTCAGAGCTACCCGAGCTGAGAGGGATACAACATTCTAGCAGAAAGGCCGAGATACTCAATAAAAGTTTCTCCTCACAGAACTTAACTCGGGTCTCTTGCGATAGCCAAGTGCTTAAACGCTAAACAAAGAGACACCCTCTTTTATGCTCGGCAGAATCAGTAGGAACAGCCCAGGTACGACCCCAAAGCACTCTTAACAACATGATGAAGTGGACAAAAGAGTGGGGACAGATCAACAAGAACAAGACCACGTACACAACATTCAGCCTCTCATCAAAATCCCGAAAGGTAAACTTGCATCTTAATGGAAACGCTCTACAACACGAGCCAAATCCCATCTATTTGGGTCTGACGTTTGATCCAAGACTAACGTGACAAGCTCAAACAGAGAGGCGCAGAAGTAAAGGTAACAGAAGAACAGCACTGTTTAGAAAGTTGACAGGGTCAGATTGGGGAGCAAACCACATCGTCTTACGTGGAGCCTATGTTGGATATGTCCGCCCAGTCCTGGAATATGGTATCGTAGGGGAACAGCATCAGACAGCAAATTCCACAAAGTAGCAAGAATCCAGAATCCATATCTGAGGATCATCACGGGAGCAATGAGATCCATCCCCATTCATGTCATGGAAACACTAACGGGGCTAGAACCCCCGAACGACAGGCGCGATCTGAAAGCGATTGTTCATCAGGAAAAGGCCAAAAGAATGCCAACCCATCCAATGAAGGATAGATCTTCAAAAAAGCCAGAGCAAACGCTTAAAATTAAAAAGGACAAGCTTCCTCCATAAGGACAGACACTCCAGCTCTAGACTCGGAATCCCTCTTGACGAATCTCCAACCCCACTAGACCCGTGTCAAGTCCACCCTCTTCAGACTAATCGCCCCCCTCAAATTTGAGAGAACCTAGAAAAGCTTGGCACCAAATCTGAAGTCCCTCCTCCAATACTCAAGTCACTGGCACTCGACTACCTGGACAGAAACTTCCCAAGCAACCTGTGGAATCGAGTTTACACAGATGGATCGGCAACTGATGCGGTCAGAAACGACGGTGGAGGTATCTACATAGAGTGGATAGATGGGTCAACAGAAAGCCATTCCATCCCCACAGGATCTCTATCTTCCAATTACAAAGCAGAAACATCAGCACTCGAAACAGCAGCCACCATTCTCTTGAATCACCAAAAATCTAAAGCGAACACGGTCATCCTCACAGATGCCAAATCTGTCCTACAAGCTCCCCAAAAGCCACAAACAGCTCAAGTACAACTCCTCTCACTCCTATGTGATCTAAATTCCCAAGCCAACACAACTCTGCAGTGGATACCATGTCACTGTGGCATTCATGGAAATGAAAAAGCAGACGACTTAGCCAAAGATGGAGCCAAAATGACCCAGATTGAAGATGGCATAGATCTTTCAGAGTCAAAATCACTAATAAAATCTGCCCTAAGAAACAAATGGAAAAGGTCCCACCCTAAGCACAACAGACATGACCCCTACTACATACTAAATAGAGCAGACCAGGTCACAATCTTTCGACTCCGTTGTGGCCACAACAGACTCAAGCACCATATGCACACCAAGTTAAAAATGGGAGAGTCAGCGATCTGTAAATGTGGACACGATCAAGAGGATGCAAACCATTTCCTTCAGCACTGCACGCGCTACGCCACCCTTCGTACACAGACATGGCAGAATGTGGCTCCCCTTGGGAGAAAGCTCTATGGCAGTCTTTCAGAGTTGAAGCGAACTGCACAGTTTGTGCGGGACAACGGACTGACTGTCTAGCTGCTGTCATTGAGAACGAGGAAGAAGAAGAAAGACAAAGAGACACCGGTTTTCTGTCATATTACAAGCTTACCAAAAAATTAATATACAGAACAAGTATGATCTCGGTGGTGTGAAGAGTAAGGCTGACGTTCTGTCTACATTTCCTTGGGTTATCCCGTTGTATAGGTGACAGTTGGGGCACCAAGGATGATCGGGCAACCATTTTTCTATATTCCTTTCTATCTTCAGCCATTCGAAGAACTTTACTCAACTTCAAACCTGGCCATTCTGTTATGTTTGTCTTCATACATATTTTTCTGTCTGCCTTTCCTTCTCCCCCCTTGTGTAGTGTCCTGTGTCCTAGGAGGTGACAAACATGCTCCAAGGTGTCACTCCCGACGTCACGTGATTCACTTGGTCCTCCAGGTAGGGTTGACATCCTTATCCTGTTAAAGGACGTCTTTTCTACTGACACACTATCACGAGAAAAGCTCTTGTTGGTGGTCTGTGCTCTGGCATCGGGTGAGAAAAGCTGATATTGCTGCTGCTGCTGCTGCTGCTGCTGCTGCTGATAATGATGATGTATGCACTTCCTTTCATTAGTTGATGTGCTTTCGGTCATACTCATCATCATCATCACTAATGAGCACTAGCGTTTGTGGTGTAGCGGTTAAATGCTCATTGAAGAACTGAGTACGATTCCTGAGTGGGAAGAAATTATTGTATCAAGTACCTCAGTATTTCTGCTGGGATATTGTATCATTATCATGATGATGATGACGATGAAGATGCTATTTCCACTATATTTTTCTTGCAAGCATTATTGCGCATTATGCTATAAATTAACATATAGTTTGTTTCCAAGGTGTTGATACTGTTTTATATCACATTTTTGAAGAAGCCCATATGGGCCAAAAATTGAACATATTTTATAAAGTCATAAAACTTCAGATACTCAAGTCTCCATCAATTTTTTCTTTTCATGTTTACTACAGTGATGCTGCTGCAGGTGCTGTTAATCCTTAGGATGATGATGATGATGATGATGATGATGATGATGATGATGATGATGATGATGATGATGATGATGATGATGATGACGATGATGATGATGATGATGATGATGAGTGTGACCCAAAGGACATCAACCAATGAAAGGAGAGCCTATATACATACACAAAACTCATCACTGCTGTTATTTGCAAAAGTTTTAATTTTATGTTCAGGACAAGGACCAACATATCTATATACATGACTTTCCAACTTTTCTGACAGCTGGCCAAGCTTGCAAAAATACAGAGATTAAGACATTGCAGTTCCAGAAACTTCATGAAGACACTCACTAAAAGAAATGAAATGCACACAAAAAAAAAATCTTCAAAGACGAAGTATTAGATGAGCATTGCCAACAATAAAAAATTCAGGGTCATTCCAGAAATTAAAATAAAGACATTACCTATGAAAATATTATATATAGATGCAGAACTCATGAGAACAGATCAAAATCAATTTTAAGAAAGTAGGCTACCTTTAGTGCTGCAAGACAACGGTTATAAAAAACTTTTCCAGCTTCAATGGAGACAGAAAAGTTTGAAATAATCTTACCTTAATGAAATTTCTCGATAAGAATTAATGTTTAATAGCAATTTGCAACGCAATCAATTAATATCAATATAATAAAAAAGACGTATGAATCTTATTTAAGTTTTCAATCGCTGAAGATACTTGTTATTAATGCAGGCCAAATCATATTTATACTGAAGTCAAAATGCTTCTGCTATGTAAAAATAAAATACTGATTAATTCAAGTGTACATGATTTTTTTCCATATTGACACAATTTAGATAATTCAGGAGGTGAGCTTCGATCCTGCCTGTCAGGGCCAACCCGGGTTGAGGGGGATACGACATCCCAGCAGAACCGAACTGCTACACCACAGATGCAAGCCTCAGAACAAAGAGACCCACCGAGGTCAAGATTTTGAATGAAAAAGAAAACTCTGTTAACATTTCTAACTTGCAACAAAATACAAGCAGGACCAAAAATACATCTCAAATGATCAACAGCAACATTAGGATCCTTCTGAATCCACAAATCAGTGACTGCATTGTGAGGAAGAGACACATACAGTAGAAGCCTGACAAAATACGGAAACAGATTGCGAATATTGTAGGTGAAAGTACAATCTTCTAAAATTTCTGCAAGTGACTGAAGCATAAAACAATTCAAGTTTCTCAAAGAAACCTTACAGAGACATCAGTAGGCAAAGCACATATTGCTGCTGATCAATTCATTGATAGGCTATGGCAAATGAAATGTATTCTATACTTCTACTAGTTTGACGAATGTGCAGGATATAGTGTTAAAGTAAACACTGATGATTCTCCCAATTATCATAAACATCCAATGTCATCTGCTAGAATGACCAACAGTGGAAAAGATACAGGAAAAACTGACAGTAGGTCATGCGGATGACATCAGAGAAGGAAAAAATTTCATGAAAACAGTTCATTCCTCACCTAAAGATGAAAAGTGGTTTTAGCCATCATCCTCAACAACTGAAAGAATATCACTTGAAAAAATTGTACCTGACAACACAATAAATGAATATCTGAACATGAAGAAAATATTCATTGTCTATTTCTAATCATCATCATTCTGCAGAAAGGTGATCATACAGTTTTCGCAAACATCGGTTAGGGATGCAGGTACAGAGTGTACAAACAAACCCTGCCAAAAAGCAACAATGATTTAGGAAATGTCACAAAAATTCCTTTGTTTTCATTGAAGTTCAATGCTTAGGAAGACACAAAGTAGGTCATTCCAAAGGCAAAGGACTTGGTCCCCCATGAGGATAGCTGGTTGAGAAGAAAAATATTACCCCAAAAAAAGGCAATAGGCTTACATTTCAAACCCTTCTTGGATTTGAACTTAGGACTGCTGTAAGCTAGATCTAGCTGAATTGATAACCAGTTACACCACAGTGACCAGCAGGTCTAGAAATACAGCAAAAGGTAATAAAACAATGACTGCTCCGGCCGCTACAGCTTGGTTCCTTTGAAACAGGATGAAACCAAACACAGAAAAAGAGAATTTCACCTGCAATGATGAACAAATCATAAACTGCCCATGTGCACATTTTAATACAACAAATATGTACTATGCCACAAAATGTCAGTCTACAAACGTCCTTGTCTGAGGCTATAGGTTAGCTGAGAGGCGAATCCATTTGCGGAGCTGACTGAACACATTCTCAAGGCTGCATTTAGAAATGACACATTTTGTTTACTAAACACTATAAAACAATCAACTGAACACCGCTGTCTTGTCACTTTGACCGTAACATGGAAATTGAAGCAGAGCCATTCACATGACTCACAATATTGTTAGCGTGACAAGCTCCTGAAGAGAAAAGAACATCTATATGGCAACATGTATACAAGTTGAAAGGGCAACAGACTGTGGCAACATACAGAAGTCAACAGAAATCACAGCCATGTGTTTGATTACAAGTCCAATCAGCCGAGATGGGAAGGTACAGACCCATTGAAAATTAAGTCATTGTGATCACGATTGCCGATTCTCATACATAATCCTCAATTTTTAAAACAGACTGTTGTCTCTGGCTGCGGCAGAAAACTAACTTAACAGAGATTTTGTGAGGTAAGACAATACAAATGACATGCTTAGCCCGACAAAGTGACAATTTAAGCCATTATGCTCTTGTACCGACGTCTAGCCCAGACTAGTGGAAACCTGGCGTAGGAGAAAAGCCAGTTTCCTCACAACAACACTGTGCTCCTGAGCTGTGACAATGGTGAAATGGTTTAGATATAATGCCCCTATCAACACTGTTATGATTATTTATGAGGCGGAACCTCTGAGTTAAACACCCATCTCCGAAAGGACAAAGGTAAGTGGGAAATTCGTGAAAAGTGCCTTTCCCAAGGAAACAATGTCGAACCGAGCTGAGGCTCGAACCCCCAAACTCGCAGTCTCACGATTACGAGTCCTGTAGCCTAACCGCTAAGCTCCCGTGCACAGGAATAAATCAAAGTAAAAACCAACTACAAGTCATTAACAGGTCTAAGATTAAGCCTCTGACTTTGCACATGTTTATTTATACAAAAACTGGAATCAACCAGCAAAGATGGCAACAACTGTGCTCATTCCGCATGTTTCCACAAACAATTTTCCTGCTGAATCTAAAAGTAACGGCTGACAAAAATAATGACACATTAATTCTATAACCAAACAAATAACCATATCTGTCTTTTTTTTTCAAGACAGGAAGTATTTAATACACACGTGAGGAACACAAACAGAACTGTGTTAACATTTCCATTAAACTCATCAAACTATGAGAGAGATAAAGACCAACACAACTATGTTTTGTTACTTGTTAGAGATGAGATCTTTGATCTTTGTTATTAGCGCCATCCAAGTGTGTGCTCAAGAAATAGCTCCATAGAAACTAAAAAAAAATATTCCCAACAACATAAAACCTTAATTTCAAAAGTTAATTTCCATAACAATTCTAAAAAAAAAAAAAAGAGAATGGAGTGTCTCATAGTCACAGTGACAGCATGTTACGTTACTAAATGATGTCGCATATTTATGGGACTTTCACATGAACAGCAGGAAAATAAACTGTAAGTTTTTGGAAAAAAATCTAAACCTCTTCAAAACAACTAAGATCAAACTGAAACGGCCGGCTGCACCAGGCCGAAGGGCTAGAACTCAAAAGGCCGCAGGATAGGAAAAGTAAAAGGCCTGCTTTAACCCTGTGTGTGTTAAGGCTGACCAGAGTTGTGTTGCATTTAACCCTGCAGAATGATGTAAACAACTCAGCAAAGTTTCTTCTCTAGGGGAAAATCAAAGTCTTGTCCTTTGCTAGGAAGATGTACAGCCTTATCAGTACATGATAAATTCAAAAACTGAAAATCAAACCATTTCAAATTTACCAGAGAAATCAGACAAATGATGCTTAAAATGGAACACAAAGAGAGGAATAAATAGAATAACAGACTATTCATGGGAGGAAATACAAAAGAAAAAAGCGACTAAAAAATTATGTAAGTGATAGATAAAACAGCAACCCTGATGTCCTATCTGAACAAGGAACTGATCAAACAGCATGGAGGTGAGTATTTGGGTATTGCAAATGTACATCTGAGCACTCATGTGTGTCTTGAGGGATAAAAACAAAATTGATTACATAAAATAAAGAAAGAAAATGGACATGACAGTCAAATACAATAAGGGTGTATGACATTGGGGCTAAAAAAAGATACAGAAGTGGAATGTTCTTAATTCTATGTATCTTAAAAATGACTTTGAACTCAAACTTCAGACTCAAAGGCGCCCCCTTCCCCCCCTCTCCCAAAGAAAAAAGAAATAAAGAAAAATTTAGAACAGATTCAGTTGAAAATGTAATATTTCTCACAAAAACAAAGAAGTGATATATGCACAAGAAGGCCCCCCCCAAAAAAGTAAACAATGATGGTAACCTTTTCAGCTATAACAAATGCAATAACGAAATGCTGGGAGAAAAAGATAGAAACCATTACTGTACCTTAGTGTCTCTGTGTAGCAAACCAGAACCCCCCCCCCCCAATAAATCTATCTTAAGGCCAGAAGGAGGCAGCAACTATGACAGTGGAGACAAACAACTTTTTTGCCACCTTTTGAAAGCAAATCAAAGAAAATCATATTCTCTTCAGTCTCAAAAAATAATTCTTATTAACAAGTTACATAATCAAACAAAATATAGCAAGTGTACGATACAACGATTCTAAACTAAGAAATTTTTTAAAAATGCAACAAATAAACTTTTTCGCAGAACATTGGATCAAACTTTCACTTACTCAACAATTTTCAGCTATAGATAATGACATTTCACATGATATAATATAACAATCTATAATACCATAATTCTGAGGTTTTGAGAAAGTACAGTCAGTAGAAAGTGTTAATGTATGACATCAGCCCTTCCAAATAAGCATGGGACCATTGAGTGGTAATAAGAACTTGACACTTTCCACAAATCTCACACAAAGAAGGTCATGCTCCAATGGCAAAACAACTAATGCAACTTGAATTTCAACTTACTTGAATATATTATATATTGGTATATTGCTGATTGGAGGTGAAGATAAATGAAAGTATAATGCGAACCCCAAGAGAGGTGTGGTATATTTAGTGGATGCACATGGCAAGAGCATGCGATACGCGGCACACACAGACATCTTACTGCGACATCGATGCAAATTACAAATATTTACCATGTATAAAAAGTACGCATTGGTTCTTGAATGCTTAAATATGATACCATAACCCTTTTAAGTATGGGTACATGAGTACAGGATGCTACATGGTATTAAAGGCTGGTAAACTTTTGCAACTATGGGGGTATCACCACAGGGCTGAAATTTTTGTCCTTCTCAGAACTGACAATATGTAAAAATAAGAGATGGTACATTAAAAAAAAAAACTTACCAAAAAAACCCCATAATAAAAAATAAAAAAGTGGAAATAAAAAAAAAAAGATTTCTTTCTAATCAATAGGATCGCCAAAAACTTTTCCCAATTTACTACTGATCAGAATGCTGAATTCTTAGTATTATCTTATACATACAGGTAAATCACCCAAATTTGCATGCTTTCATATAGCAGCATTTTTATCGACCTAATCTTGATCTGTCCAAAAATTTATTTTGTAGCAAAAAAAGTTGAGACATTTGTTTAACAAGGAAACAAAACCAGGGTTTATCTTTAGGAGACATGCAGTAAAATAATAACATTGCTTTTTGCAATACAAAATCTTTCCTACAAGGAAAAATCCAAAGTAGTGGCAAATATAACAAAATAGGGCTGCAAGTTCAGAGTACCACTTAAAGGAAAGAGCACCTCTACATGACAAATTCTGAGCGGTAAACAAATTCATATCAGAATTCATTGACTTTCAAAATCTTTTCAATATACGGGTCTTGTCAAGCTAGAATAGCAGGTAGTATTTTTTCCTTATCCACCTGTTGTTTCTGTAAGTTGTTTACTTCTAACAGTAATTGGTCGTTATTGTATTTATGCACATCGGTTCAAATCTAAAAGACGGTTTATTTATTCAGAACATATGTTCGTCAAAACAAATATAACTTTTATGCTCATTCTTTTCTTATACCCCTGTAGGTATGCTGAAAAACTTACGAGACAAACCCCCCCCCCCAAAAAAAAACAACTAAAGGGTAGAGTGCAGCCGACAGCAGTAGTTCCTATCACGAGGTGGCTGAATACCGATGCAGAAGTTGCTCATTGCACGTGTCACACACACGCACAGGCTTGGAAGAAGACGGCAAAGGCATCTTATTGTCGGAGCACTCTGAGCAGTAGATGTCTCCACAGTTACGACAGTGGTGCTAGAAATGAGGGGTGGGAAGAGGAAGAGAAAATAGTAAATGTCAAATGAGTTAAACGGATCTTTTGGAAAGCCATTTTATCATGACCAGCATGCACTCAAATATTCTGGTGTTTTTCTTTGCTGGGGGGGGGGGGGGGGGGGGGGACACTCGAAAGCTAGAAATAGACATCCCAATATTTGGTACCAATTGGCTTGAGTTTCTGGTTAAGGGTGTTTTTTGAGTGCATTTGTTGTTCGAGAAGAAAATCTATATCTTGAAGCATTGCGTGAAAGTGCTTTGTAAAACCTTATTGCTGCCATGATCTCACAATGGTGAAGCCTTTGTTTTGAATTCTGCACCACTCAACTTCTTTTGAGTTGTAGAACCCTTTCCCCCTAAAATTTCAGTTGTTCTGTGCAATGCAGATGAAGAAGTTGAGCTTGAAGCCCCCAGTAAGGCTTTTCTTTGTGAAAGGGTGAAAGTTATAGATTATGCCATGGGCAAATATCTCAACAGAAAGAAATAGAGTAAAAATAATAAGTTTCGTGAACTGGAAAAGACGAGTTGGGTTTCTGATCAGCTCCACGAACATGCTCGACTGTGTTAGGAAAAATACTGATCACAAAAATGGTGATCGCATGCATGGTACGAAGCTGTCATACCCTTTCAAAAGTAGACCCCCCCCTCCCACCCCTGTTACATTTTTATTCAACTTTTCAGTCTCAATAAATAGCAGCAAGAAGACTATACTACAGTGTTTTATGGCACAAAGTAGCTAAATAATTGAGTAAAAAGTAGCCAAATGTTTCATGAAACAGGAAGAGAGAGATGATAATCTCGAAAGTAAGAAACAAAGATATGATGGCATTCGGCTGAATTAACAGAATACTACTTGTGAATATTGGAAGCAAAACAAAATAGGTGAAAGAGAAAAATTGTCTGATCTACGAAAATAAAACTGCTGTTTGAGAAGATGGGCTCGAGAAGTAAGGGGAAGCAACTTTAAAACCAGACAGAAAACTATGAGTTTTCATTCCCTCCCTTGATTTCCATGCCAAAAACGATCCCAAACACAGAAAATAATAATAATATTCGTGACGCCACGTCCCTTCCTTCCTCACCCCCCCCTCTCTCTCTCTCTCTCTCTCTCTCTCACACACACACACAAACACACCAACACACACACACACACGCGAAAGCATAATATACCTCTC